CGCTGAAAGAGGCAATCCAGGCCTGAGAATTCGAGGAGTAGCTCTCTTCATGGATAACAACACAGAGCTTTTCGGGATAAGCTTTTGCTCAACAGTGGGCCGAAACTATGTCAAAATCTCTCCTGGTCTCGCAAGCTTACTAAACGGCAGTACCTTCAAAACGAGCATGAAGCGCAAAACATACGATGCGCTAATTGAGATAGAAGTCGCCAACCAACGATGTCGAATAGTAAGGTCGAAAAACAAAACGATCTTGCTGTTCACATGGAGCGAACAGAAAACTCCATTCACCCAGGCATGCTCACTGCTAACGAGACTCGGTGAGGTAGAGACAGTGGACATACCTCGCATCATAAGTGTGGACGCCATGGTGGTCTTGTATAAATAAAATAAAATAAAATAAACCTTTATTATTTTCTCCCACAAATTGTACAATTGCATATTTTATCATTTAAAAACATATATATTTTTATAAAAAAAAAAAAACAAAGAGGTACATAAATTTGTGGGAGACGGGAGTCCACACTAGGATACCCTGTGCTATGGATCTCCCGGCTCCCCATTAGAATGATCAACTAGATGTTTCTTTTTTTTTTTTATTATACGTATATAGCAGAGACTTTTTTCCGTTTGCGAGAGAGCATACGCGCAAGCAGTTAATCTTATTGTTTGTGTGTTTGTGTGTGTGTGTGTGTGTGTGTGTATGTGTGAGTGTGTGTATGTGTGTATGTGTGGGTTAACTCGTACGTGGTATGTTAAGATGCAATCTGCAGTAATTGTTCAGTTTTTTCGTAATCAAGTTTAAGCAGCCAATTTGAAATTTTCTTTTTACATTCAAATTTAGTTAGGTTAATGATACGGTATAATTTGTTTGCTTTGTTATATAATCGACTACCTCTAAAACTGAAAAACTTTTGAGCAAAAAATGTTTTTACCGGAATAATTTCACAGACTTCATAATCTCTCCTCGTACCAGAGTTCCTTATATTATCCAACAAATCAATACAACTATGTTTTTTTAAGATTATTGATAATATGTAAATTTTTCGAACCGTTAACACATTGGCTTCTGCGTATAAGTTCGTAGTCGGATACGTCCTAGGTTTTTTCAAGGCAATTTTTAATATCATCCTTTGTACCTTTTCAACTTCCATCATTAATGTTTTACTAGAGCCTCCCCATACAGAAATGCCATAGGACAGGATAGATTTACCTAACGATTCATATACAGTTTTAATTAAATTCCAATTTGCGATATGTCTTAAGTTTTTAAATATGTAGATAAGCTTTCTAATTTTTTGAACTAAATAGTTTATATGTTCTTTGAAAGTTAGATTCTTGTCTATTATTATGCCGAGGTACTTTATGTTATTTGTATTTTCAATATCAGGACATTTACAATTTGAAATAGAGGTCATATTACATGAATGTGCTATGATTTTAAATTTATTTGTAATACAGGTTGAATTTCGGATGGAAAACATTACATATTTGGTTTTATCGGTATTTAAAGTGAGACTATTTAGAGCAAGCCAGTGACACACTATATTGAAACCATCCTGTGCAATTTTGAAAACTTCTTCCCAAGAGTCACCGTAGAACGAGAGGGTTGTGTCGTCAGCATATGAGATTATTTTACAATTTGGGATGTTTAATTGACAAAGATCGTTTATGTAGCAAAGGAAGAGAGTTGGACCGAGAATACTTCCTTGTGGTACTCCGTAATTGATTGGTCTTTCATCACTAAAAATCTCTCCTATCCTAACTCGTTGTGAGCGATTTTGTAGGTAATCTCTGAAAAGTTGTAATTGTACATTTCTAATACCCATTTTTTCAAGTTTCTCGATCAGTTTAGAAGATGAAATAGTGTCAAAAGCTTTTTGCAGATCAATAAAGATTGTGATACATTTTTTATTGGAATCTAATTTTTGCACAATAAATTCTGTAAAAATATGTATAGCGTCCGTAGTTGATTTACTTCTTCGAAAACCGAATTGACCATTTGAGAGAATTTCATTATCTTCTAAATATTTTATAAGTCTAGTGTTTATTATTCTTTCAAGGAGCTTAGACATAGACGGGAGTAACGATATTGGACGATAGTTAGTGATGATGTCACGCTTTCCGTTTTTAAAAACTGGTATTGTGATGGACTTTTTTAAAACTGTTGGAAAAATACCTTCTTCTAGACACCTATTAAAGCTATGATTAAGTGGGGGGATTATAAATTCTTTAAGACATTTTAAAATTTTTGGCGTAATACCATCCCAGCCAGCACCACAATCAGTCTTGAGATTAAGAATGAGACGTTCGAGTTCTTCTACACTTGTTTTAAGTAGGACAAAAGACTTACTTTTGACTGTTACAGGATTTACAGTGGTAGAAAGAGGCGGAAGATCTATTTTAAGTTTATTTGACAAGTTAGAGCCTATATTTTCAAAAAAAGTGTTTATAAAGTTGACGGAACTAAGCGGGTTATTTTCAATCTTGAGAAGTTCAGCTGGTAGCTCTTTTGGTTTATTTAAGTTATTTATATTTTTAACAACATTCCAAATTTTTTTATTATCATTTCCAGCAGCTTTCAATTCATTTCTTTCATAATGATTCTTTTGTTTTTTTTATTTATCATTACAAAAGTTTCTGTATCGCTTATAAGTACATTTTAAAATTTCATTTAGAGGATCTTTATTTAGTTTATAATGCATTCTATCTCTGGTTCTTATACATCTTAATAAACCAACAGTTATCCAGGGTTTTATTGTGATTTTGCTTCGGGGTATTCTAATTTTAATTGAATTATTAACAATTATTTTTTGTATGTGTTCAATAATAAAGAGTATAGATTCATTTGGATTAAGTTCATTATTATATATCTCATTAAAATTTAGGTTTTTACAATCTTCATATAGGTTATCGAAATTTAATTTATTAATGAAATTATTTTTATTGTTAATATTTTGTTTTATGGATTTAATGCAGAAAAGAACCGGTTCGTGGTCAGTAATGGAAGTTAATAAAATAAAGGTATATGTGGGATATTTCGTCTTTAGAATTTCATGGTCAAGGCAACTATTACCCCTAGTGGGATGATAATATGCCGGTATCATTCCATAGAAAGCCAGAACTTCTAGGTAATTGGATGACAGCGAATTAAGTACAGCAATGTTAATATTTAAATCTCCCATCAAGAAAGTATTTTTAAAAGAAGATAGTTCAGTTAAAGTGTTTTGTAACGATAGAAGGAATTTATCCAGCGATAGGTAGCTAGGGGATCTATATATAGCAATTATAGCTGTCTCGTTATTAATTTTTATTAATAGGGAGTTCGCTTCAGATATATTAGGTTCCTCTACTTCAAATTTTAATTCTTTCTTTATCATAACGACAACACCTTCGTTTTGATTATTGTTCATCATAGTTTTAAAGGAGATGTATCCTGGGATAACCGGAAGGTTAATGACACAAGATAGCCAACGTTCCGAAAGGATTAAAATATCACAGTCAAATTTCATCCTATGTAGTAACACGATTAAGCTGTTAAAGTTTTTGTTTAAGCTTCGTATGTTTAACTGTAATATTTTTAAGTATAAGGATGGATGCAATACAAAATTTATACATGATTCAGGTTCGCAGATTTGAAGATCTGTTTGTTGGAAGTTGTCTAAATTATTTAAGTTATTTACGTCAGCGAAATTATAATAATAAGTAAATAATTTTGTTTTTCCGATAAAAACATTTCAATTTGCAGTACTATTGAGCTTATTTTACTTAACTGGGTAACGCCATTTTGTAAGATATTTAAAAAATGTTTGTGTGAAAAGTGTGAATGTGTTGGAATTGTGAAAAATAATGTAACGTGTAGATATATACTAACAGGTACTGTACATTGTATTAGGTTATACACATGAGAAATTATATACATCGGTCTAGTATTTAAATAAGAATAGTATAACGAATAAGGTAACCACAAGCATATACATTGTATAATATTGCTTACAATTAAAAAAGTACTCCTAAATACTTGTAGGCCGTAAGTGTAACGTGTAAATAAATCCAAATGTGATTGAAAGATATTATATAGAAGCATGTCAACTTCTCCAAAATACAAATATTCGTAGAATTGAAGAACCGCTATACTTGTAAAGTTGCATAAGGAAAAATAGCAGACATCTATGTTAATTCTCGTACTAATCATAGCAAAACATATTATAGAGTAACGCTGAACGTAATTCACAGCAAGCATTTTATCGTGAAACAAGACAAAACCTACTTTAAACATAAACTCACACAAGAGTATACATTTATATAAGGTGAAATAAAATATTAAGAACTTTACATAGTATTTTATAGTAAGGACAGAAAGTACAGCAATTAAGAATACAAATGTTACAACGCCTGAGCCAAAAAATAACCTAAGTGTACCATTACTATGTAAAAGAATAAGATAAAAACAAAATTTAAACAAATTAAACATCAAATTTAAGCAATACAAAAAACCTTTACGATATCACTCTCCGTATGAATTCGCTGTTTGCTCGACATCGTATCACGCCTTACAAATATATTGCCGTTTTTTGTCCATACATAACGCCAGTGGTTTCGCTGCGCTTCTTGTCTAACCTTATAGAAAAGTTGCTTGTTAGTGTACGTCAGACGTTCATTTAAATAAAAACGCACTGTATGAGCGTTAATGTTGAACCCGGACGTATCGGCTCCTCGTCGCACGCGAGCGGCACGCAACGGTTGGTCGCGAATAGCACGCCGCGCTAAGCGAATGATGATAGGTCTCGGACGCGGCGGTTCAGTGGCTGTACTCACACGATCACTACGCATACCAGATCTCTCTACACTAACCACATCACGTTCATCCAGTTCAATGCCTAATCTTTGGGCGACGAGAGAAAATAGATGTATCGGGTTTTCTCCATTTTGTTCAGGCACGCCCGTGAGCTCCAGGTCATTTAAAAGAGCAGCTTGATCTTTGTAATTTAGGTCACGCTTTAGTTGAGCCACAGTTTCAACCAACTACTTGCAGGTGCAACCTTTTTTTCATCCTTCGCTTGAAGTTCTAAGCAGGTCACGCGGTTTTCAACGCTGTCTAATCTTGAGTTAAACTCCGACATAGTGGCATTCAGTTTCCCAATTTCCTGGCGAAAATTAACCATTTCTCTCGAAAGGGTTTGCAATTCTGTTCGTAAAAACCTAGTTTCCTGCGCTAATAATCCTTCGTTAGAACCCTCCACCCTTGCATCCATAAATGTTTCAGATATCACCTCTGTTTCCGCATGTGCTGGACTTTGCCGCGGCGTCAAATTGACACCCGAACATGAGGCCTTAGGTTTACAGGTCATGCACATCCACTTTACACTAATTTTCGTGTCCGGGTTAACGTTTACACAATGGCGATGGTATGCTGATGGACACTTTGAACATTTAACACAATCTGTTTGAGAAAGGAACTTCCCGCAGAGACCACATTTATTTGCCATGTTTAATTTAATTATCACAAAATGTTCCCGTGCAGTAAACTTACGCCAAACTGCGCTAACTACACAATATAATATTTATAGCGACGCTTGAGTTAAGAATACATAAATGTAAAACATTTTACTTGTTGCGGGTAGATATAATTGCGGATTGGAAAAGTTGATTATGTTACGATAGACTTTAATGATATTTTAATCACACTGACTCTGTAATAAATGTAAATAACACTAGTATCACTTTTTGGTGCTATCTGAAATAGGAATATACTGTTTGTATGTACAAGAACCACGTTTAATTATTTTATTAGCTCAAATAATCACGACGTGTATGCACTACCCGCCACGTCTCGATAGGGAGGATGTATGAGAAAGGTGAAGTCGTGGACCTCAAATAAACATGAAATAGTCGTGTATGAGGATAGGGGCGAAAACCTGAGCTTCCTCAAACATCACGACTCGACTATGGCAACTCAACACCAAACAGCAAATCCAGAAACACTTAGTGGCTCAGAACGCCTGCAACTGAAAACGGCCCAAGAAAAGGCCGCAGCCAGAGAAAAAATTACCAAAAGTCTCAAAGCGGGGTAAGTGCATTAATTAATACCATTAGTGCAGCGGCCCAAAGCATTCCAGGAAGAGCAATCCGAAAGTTAAGAAAGATAAGGCAAGCCGAAAACTTAATAAGAGAGCCTCCGAGAGTTCTCAAGAAATCCCAACCCACCTACACTAGACCCTGTTCGGGACGAGTCAGCCCGCCAAAGCTTCTACCGGCGATTGGGCCTAAGGACCACATAATCAACGCGTTCCTAGAGTTCAAAGCCCTCACAAAAGCAACTCTTGAGGTGAACCAAACGACTTGTAGGAACATCTTACAAAGTTTCCACCTCGGTAGTCAAGAGTTTCTTGAGGTGCAGCTCGAGGAGGCAGAGGCCGCAATTTATGACAACAAAACATCCACAGTCATAAGAGGTAAAATGGGTCATCACATGGCGGCTTATAGCGGGTCAGCGGGCTTTGTATCCTTGGAAGAGGAGGAGACGAAACGACAGGGTAGATTAGTATTCAAAACCCCCCCCAACGACCCCATTGTGGTCACCGCCCGTTGTACCAGGGTGATGCTAGAAGACAGGATCCTGAACATGGCGAAAGCCATCTCGAGAACCTGTGAAATGGGAGATCCTTGGGAAAGCTGGACGGTGCCGACAATAAATTGGGTCAATGGGGTCCCGGGGTGTGGAAAAACGACTTGGGTTATAAAACAATTCGATGCGGAGAATGACTTGATTGTCACTACAACAACAGAAGCAGCTAAAGACCTCAGGGAAAAATTAAGCAACCGCATTGGCACCGACGCAAAAACAAAAGTGCGCACTATGGCCTCAATTCTAGTAAATGGCATGAGAAGGCAAAACAGAAGATGCACTCGACTTTTAGTCGACGAAGCTCTCATGAACCATTTCGGGGCCATAGTAATGGCAATGCGACTGAGTGGAGCGGAAAAAATACTGCTCATCGGTGACATCAATCAACTTCCGTATATCGACAGGGAAAACCTCTTTGCGATGCAATATACTCGCCCAAGCCTCGTGACCACAATCAGCCAAGAACTCCTGTGCACGCACCGGAATCCAATGGATGTGGCATATGCCCTGAGTGAAATCTACAATGGCATATATTCATCCAGATCTCAGGTGCATTCACTGGAAAGGAAAAGGTACACGGGAGTCGTCATTCCAGGTACCCTGCCAAATACATTATATCTTGTATACACGCAAGCAGAAAAGGAGTCCCTTAAGGTAGAACTGTGACCCTACAAGAAAAAATATTTTATAAAAAGAACTGTGACGTGGTATTTGTGTGTCTTCGTTAATTGAAAAAGTTCAAATACCGCATCCTTGTCAAATATCTACACAAAAATTTTAATACTTTTAAAATACTTTTATAACTTTTACAAACTTTAAAATTTCATAATTTGACAAACAGCTATTGCAGTTGTTTATTTATTTGTTTTAATTTATTTGCATATAACTTTTTATTTTACATTATTTTGTTAATTGTTGAGACCCAAGACGCGTTCCCCTGAAAATGTTCGGCATTCGTACACCTATCAAAAAGAATGAGGATAGTGCCAAGGACACGAGTCCTCAGGGCACTTCAAACGGGAAAGAGAAGGCTGGGCCTTCTCCTGAAACAGATAGTACAAAGCAACTCCCTAGCGTAAGAAGAAGTATCGGAGAGTGGGAAATGGGAAAAGTAGATACGGAGACTGTAATACAAATTTCACCAAAAAAGGTAGCCCAAGGAGCTCGTCAAAAACAGAAGGTTGTTCCACCTCAGGAAACAAGAGGAACAACACGTAAAGTAGTAGTTGAGAATACAGAAAGCTCTCCCAAAATCGCAAATATAAAATATGCGGATCGTCTAACAGAAGCTTGAACCTGTCTCCAAAAGGCAAAATTACATTTCAACAACTCTCGAAACCTAAGGACCGACATAAAAATGGAAGTCACTCAGGCAGTAGAGAGACTCTATCAATTGGTGAAAGAGGCGGAAATAGGAAATAACATTGAGAAAGAAGAAAAACCTAAAGACCAGGAGAAGAAAGGAGATAAACTAGACGATGAAAGCAGGAAAAAGAAAGAAGAAGAACAAACCTTTATGAAGAAATTGGAAGAGCACGGGAAACTCTTAGAGGAAAGTAGAAAAGAGATGGAAAAGTTAAGAGAAGAAATAAAAAAGCAAGAAATTCAAGAGGACAGAGGAACATACGCAAGCATAGCGGCTGGACCACCAAGAAATTCACCTTTACCTACACAGAACATGGCTATGCATTCTGTGATGATAACATCAAATGACGTAAAGGAAACAGGAGACCAGGTCATCGACAAGATAAGGAACGCTATAAACGCCAAGGAAGAAGGTTTAAAAATAGACAAAATCAGGAAGGCAAGGGATAGGAAAGTAATACTGGGATGCCGAACGGAGAAGGAAATAAATAAAGTCAAAGAGAGGTTAAAACAGGCAGGGAAAGATTTAAATGTGGATGATATAAAAAACAAGGATCCGCTCATAATCCTGAGAGATGTTATGCAGTATAACACTGATGAGGAGATACTAAAGGCAATAAGGATGCAAAATAAGCAGCTTTTTAAAGACATATTAGAGAAAGAAGATAGAATAGAAATTAAATATAGAAAAAGGACCAGGAACCCACATACATCCCACATTGTACTGAGAGTCTCGCCCCAGATTTGGAATCATCTTACCGAAGCTAGAGTTATCCACATTGATCTACAGCGGGTAAGAGTAATGGATCAGTCCCCTCTAGTTCAGTGTACGCGCTGTCTGGGATACGGGCACAGCAAGCGCATATGTACTGAAGCGACTGATGCCTGTAGTCATTGCGGAGGCCCACATCTCAAAGCTGAATGTGCCGACTGGCTGTCAGGAGAGACACCAGAATGTATAAACTGCAAGAAGGCAAAACACGATAGAAAAGATCACAACGCATTCAGCGAAGACTCTCCAGTAAGAAAGAGATGGGAAGTACTCGCCAGGTCTACCGTAGCGTATTGCTAAGGTTGACTCAAACGTAAACACGGAACCTAACACCCGTCCCCACCGATATCACGTGATCCAGGCAAATCTCCAAAGGTGCGAGCTAGCCACGGCCGAACTAATTACAGAGGCGACCAAGCGAAATATATCTTTCGCTATGGTTCAGGAGCCCTATATTGGTCGAATTGGTCAAATGAAGAACTACTCGGGGACGAGAATAGCACAAAGAGACAGAACTGAACACTGAAAAGGTGAATAAGGCTGCTATTGTGCAATTAGATGACGCCATTGACATCGCCCAATGCTCCAGCCTAACTACAGAGAATATCGCAGTCGCTAAACTCAGGACAGGGGCATGGGAGTTGGGAGTGGTGTCCGTCTACCTAGAGGGTGACAAACCAATCGATCCTTACCTTGAAAAGATTGGAGCGGCCGTGGTGGGCTTACAGACAAGGAACGTGATACTCGGTGGTGACGTGAATGCGTGGAATACATGGTGGGGAAGCCGGAAAACGGACCACAGGGGTATGGAACTTGCTGCAAAGCTCGATGAACTGGAGCTCCATATCCTAAATAGAGGGACTGATCCCACTTTTGACATATATAGAGGCGGGAAGAGATTTTCCAGCTGCGTGGATATATCCACTTGCTCTACTAACCTTCTTGGGAGAACAGACAACTGGAGACTATCCGACGAAATAACCAGTTCGGACCACAGGGCAATCCTATTTGACATAAATTTAGGGAAATCAATAGGCACTAATATAAAAACTACTACCAGGAAATATAACACGAAAAAAGCAAATTGGGGCGAGTTTCGTTAGAAACTCGTCGAAATTTGGAATGATAAAGGTATAAATAGAGCAGAGATAGACAAAATAACAAACAAAGATGAAATAGATATACAAATAGAAGAATATACAAAATCAATAACCGAAGCTCGTGAAAACAGCATACAGAAAATAGCAAACAAAAAGCAAATGGGATTGCCCTGGTGGGCCCTTGAACTGACACAGCGTAAAAAGGAAGTCTCCAGGCTAAGGCGACGAATCTCCTATGCAGCGCCAATCCGCCGTGGATGGGTTGTTGAACAATACAAGACAGCAAAAGAGGAGTACCAAGAAGCAGTGAAAAGAGCTCAGACCACCAGCTGGAAAGAGTTCTGCGGCAAACAGGAGCGAGAAACAATGTGGGATGGAATATACAGGGTAATAAGCCGTACAACGGTGAGACGGGATGACACTCCACTTGTACAATGTGGCAGGACACTAGAAAGTGAAGAATCTGCCAGGATCCTGGCGGATACCTTTTACCCGGAGGATCGTATTGAAGATGACGACGCGGTACATACGCAAATAAGGGAAATCGCAAAAACTGTAAACGAAGGGACAAATGATAACTCATGTGATCCACCGTTTACAGTGGATGAGCTGATGTGGGCCGTGTCGAACTTCAACCCGAAAAAAGCGCCAGGAGACGACGGTCTTCGGCAGATATTTGCGGGGTGGCTATTGCCCTGGACGCGGCATTGTTCTTGGCACTAATTAACAAATGTTTAAGCCTCGCACATTTCCCCATAAAATGGAAAAAGGCAACTGTAGTGGCGTTGCGGAAGCCTGGTAAAGAGAATTATACACACCCTAAATCATACAGGCCGATTGGGCTACTGCCTGTCCTTGGAAAAGTCTTCGAAAAGATGGTAGTCCACAGAATCAAGTGGCACATCGTATCGAAAATAAGCCGGAAGCAGTATGGGTTTATGCCACAACGCAGCACGGAGGACTCCCTCTATGATATGATGCAGCTAATAAGAACTAAACTGAAAGAGAAAAAGCTTATCCTGCTCATATCATTAGACATAGAGGGAGCCTTCGATAATGCTTGGTGGCCAGCGATGCGATGTGAACTTGCGGAGACTGGGTGCCCGGTAAACCTGAGGCGCCTGATAGACAGCTATCTTAAGGATAGGTCAGTAAGCGTCAGGTTTGCTGGGGCACAATGGACTAAAAATACCACAAAAGGGTTTGTACACACCCTTTTGTGGTATTTTTATTTTCGATAGGCGGTCCAATTTTCTGGAATCTATTATTGGATCCACTTTTAAGGGAGATGAGCGAAAAAGGGACCCACTGCCAGGCTTTCGCGGACGATGTGGTCCTGATTTTTGCCGGGGATACAACAAAACAGGTGCAGGAACAGGCTAATGTGAATCTCGCACATGTCCATAGTTGGGGTGTCAAAAATAAGCTCAACTTTGCACCACTTAAAACAACAGCAATGGTCGTTACAAATAAGCTTAAATATGACACACCAATTCTGGAGATGGGTGGGAAGAGCATTGGCCTCTCCAAAGAAATAAAAATACTCGGCCTCACAATTGACAACAAGCTTACCTTCAACACGCATATTAAGAATGTATGTTGTATGGTACAGAACTTGTATCGTCAGCTGTCGAGAGCCGCAAAGATCTATTGGGGCCTAAACCCCGAAATTATCAGGACCATATACACTGCAGTAGTTGAGCCGATTGTAATGTATGCGGCTAGTGCTTGGGTATCAGCAATTAACAAATGTAGTGTCAAAAAGCAACTGGACATAATACAACGCGGATTTGTACAAAAAGTCATAAAATCGTATAGAACAGTTTCTCTTCATTCGGCCCTACTTCTCGCCGGGCTGCTTCCTTTGGACCTAAGAGTCCAGGAAGCAGCCTTGCTTTATGAGATAAAGAAAGGTTTCTCCCGACGTATAGTGGGCGATCGTGACGTGGAGACAAAACTTGAATTTTCCAAGACCACACATCCCGCGAATCAGGTAAGCCTGAAATTCACATGCCTGGGAGACGGTGCACAAATAGACCAAAATCAAAACACGGGCTTAAACATTTTTACAGACGGAAGCAAAATAGAGGGGAAAGTTGGCGCGGCGTTATCCATCTGGAACAACGCCGCGGAAACGAATACCCGAAAACTGAAACTGGAAAATTTTTGCACCGTTTACCAGGCTGAGTTACTGGCTATAATGGAAGCAACAAAATATGCACTTAAAGACCAAGCACTGAGTTGCTGCATATACAGTGACTCAAGGTCTGCTCTTGAAACAGTGGCTCAAGACGCTCCCCTCCATCCCCTAGCGGTGGAAGCAAAAACAATATTTTAAAAATAAACAAGGAAGGCAAAATTTTACGGCTCTTTTGGATAAAAGCTCACGCAGGATTGGAGGGGAACGAAAGAGCAGACCAGCTAGCCAAAGAAGCTGCTTTAAAAATTAAAACAAAACCAAACTATGAAAAATGCCCGATTTCATTCATCAAGCGATCCATCCGAAAGGAATCGCTTGATGAATGGAACCAGCGCTATAAGAATGGGGAAACAGCCTCAACTACTAAAATGTTTTTCCCAGACGCCATTGCTGCATATCAAATAATCAGGAAAATTGAGATGGACCCGATAATAGTCCAAGTAATGACTGGACATGGCGGGTTCTCTGAATACCTGTACAGATTCAAATGTAAAGAGAGCCCGGCATGTGCCTGCGACCCCGTAAAAAATGAAAATGTAATGCATATATTAACAGAATGTCCAATATATAGCAAAGATAGAAACGAAATAGAAATAGAATTAGGATTAAAAGTAAGTAAAGAAAATGTAAATGAAATAATTAGCAATAAGTTTATTAGAAATAGGTTCATAAAATATTGTAAGCACATAGCAAAAAGTGTAGTAAATAGAAATAAATAGTAACTAAGAAAACGGATGCTGTTACAAAATATAATATAAGTATATGATGTAAGCAGCTCCAAAAATCAATAGAAATAAGAACATAATTAAGAATAAAAATAATGAATGTAAGCATAAAAATATAAAAATAAATAAAAGAAAGAAAGAAAATAACAAAGGTGAAAAAAGACACACCTGAAAGTTGAAAAAAGTCCCTGACCTCCACATATCAGGGGAACTAGAAAAAAAAAAAAAAACCTAACCTAACCTACCCTAACCTTTTTTTTTTACGTGGGGAAATCCTCATGGATACCTCCGGCTGCGGGGGCAACCAGAAGGTTATGCCGGACTCCTACCGGCTAAAACCCCACGATGCCTCCTCGCACGTGCGTGCGGGGCCGCGGGAATCCAAATTCTTCCGCAGCCCCGCACTAGTGCTGGCCCGGTCTGTCCGAGCCTCGTCTCCTGCACGGGGTAGCGAGGTGTTCAGCTACCCCCCTCCACAGCCTCCAACTCCACCTGCGTATCGAACCCTCCCGAGTCCGATACTCGGAGGCCATGGGGCCAGGAAAATCGAGCGCTTAATAGCGCCCGCTTTCCCGACCCCAGCGGCGGATCTGGTCTCGGGCTCCGCCGCCAACCAAGTTTCGGCCGCGGAGGGTAGTGAGAGCGGCGCCTCGCAATACCGACACTCCTCTCCCCCCGCGGCCCCACCACCACCGAATCAACAGTGCGGCCCCGTTTGAGTCGCGGAGGATAGGGCGAGTGGCGCATCGCCATACCAACACTCCCCTTCCTCCGCGACTCCACCTCGGCTGCAGCGGTAGAGGGTGCGGACTCCCCTCTCACCGCAGCCCACCAACACACATCCGAAGTGGGCTCGTCAAGCCCACTCGGAGTGGCCACCTCGGGCCGGCCCTACACCTCGGGCCAGCCAAGGGGTTCCTCTTTGTTCACCGTGGTTGACCAAGCCACGGCTACTAAGCTCCCCCGCCACGACAAGGCGGGAACCCGTTCGGGGGGGAACCTTTTTTTTTTTTTTTACGGGGGGAAATCCTCATGGACTACCTCCGCCTGGGGAAAGGCGGAGGGGCGTGCCGGACTCTTACCGGCTAAAACCACTCCGGTGTCTCCTCACACGTGCGCGTGGGGCCGCGGGAATCCAAATTCGTCCGCAGCCCCACACTAGTGCTGGCCCGGTCCGTCCAGGCCTCGTCTCCTGCACGGGGTAGTGAGGTGTTACACTACCCCGTGTATCGCCTCAGCGGCGCGCGCCGACACCTGCGCGCGCCTCCGCCTCGGGTCCATCGAGTAGGGGTAGCGGGGGTTTCCCCAAGCCCCTCGCCCCTGGACCCATTTATGGGGGCCGGAAAAGGGCGTTGTCCGCCCTTCTCCTGCGCCCGGTGCGCCTTCTGCGGCCAGGGAAGGAAGTCGAGATCTCCCTTTCCCGTTCCGCAGTTTCCTTCTGCGACATCAAGTCCTCGCAGAAGGACACCACCGCATCCCACGACTCTGCGCTACCGACCATCTTCCGCACTAAGGACGGCAGCGACAGATCGCCTCCTACTTTATTTGTGAGGACACGGCTCTGCTCCTCCCAAGCTACACACTCGGCGAGCGTGTGTTGCGCCGTGTCCTCCCCGCAATGGACGCAGTGGTGGCACCGAGCGTCCGGCTCCCTGTCTATGCGGCGCAGGTACTTGCCGAAGCAGCCATGCCCCGACAGCACTTGCGTCACCCTAAACGACAGGGAGCCGTGCCTTCTCCCGAGCCAGTCGTCGAGTACTGGCCGGATCGCCTCGACGGTAGCGAGGCCGGCGGTAGGGCGCAGAAGCCTTTGCCGCCATTCCGCCACCAAGACCTGACGGAGCTCCTCTCGGCGCAGCGCGATCTGCCGCTGCACCGGCCTCGAGCCCCGTGCCCGCTCTTCCTCGCGCCATCGATATAATGACGCGAGTACTTTCGCCTCTAGGTCCCAGGGCGGGGATCCGGCCAGGACGCAAGCCGCCTCGTAGGAAATCGTGCGATACCCGCGGACGACCCTGACGGCCATCGCCCTCTGCGGTTTACGCAGAATGGCGAGAGTGCTGGACGTCATGTCCATCGCCCACACAGGGGCCCCATACAGGGCCATGGACCGCACGATTCCCACGTACAACCGCCTACAGGCGGCGCTCGGGCCCCCCAAGTTGGGAAGCAACGTTGATAGCGCGCCCGCTGCACCCATCAGCTTGGGCGCCAGCCGCCGGAAGTGGGGTCCGAATTCCCATCGGCTGTCGAGCACCAATCCCAGATACTTCATGGTGGACTCGACAGCTATCCGGGCCCCGCTGACCACGATGTGTGAACCCGGCGGCGGCGCGCGTCGAGGTCCATGGAACACCATTGCCTCCGACTTACTTAGGGCCACCTCCAGGCCCAGGCGCCGGATGCGGTTCACCACTTGTGACACCGCAGCCATGGCAACCAACGCTGCTTCCCTGTAAGAACTCCCCCGGGCAGTGACGAGCGTGTCGTCCGCATAACACGTCAAGTCGGCGCCCGACGGAGTTCACCTCTCAGCACCCAGTCGTAGCCGATGTTCCACAGGAGCGGTCCCAAGACCGATCCCTGCGGAACACCGCACGACATGACGCGCCGACCAGCGCCGTCACGTCCCCATAGGTAACGCATCTCTCCTCAAGGTAAGCCCCTATTGTGCGGCGGAGGTAGGGAGGCACGCGATGGTAATTCAGCGCCTCCCGAATACAACTCCAGGGTAGGGTGTTGAAGGCGTTGGAGATGTCTAAGGACACCGCCAGCACCACCCCACCCCGGGATACTGTCTCCTCCGCCAGGGCCCTCACGCGCGTAATAGCGTCTATGGTGGAGCGCCCGCGACGAAAACCAAACTGGTTCTCGTCCAGGCACGGCCCCTCTCTGCAAAAGTGGCTGACGAGGCGATCTGCGATGATGCGCTCAAGAAGTTTGCCCGCCTCGTCGAGCAGCACTATGGGCCGGTACGCGGACGGTGAGTCCGCGGGGCGCCCCTCCTTCCTGAGCAGGACCAGCCTCCCCTCCTTCCACACACTGGGAAACTGACCCTGCTCGAGACATGCCGTGAAGAGCCCTCTCAGCTGGGGCTCTAGCTCCTTCAGAGCCAGGACGAGAGCTCGACCAGGAACTCCGTCGGGTCCGGGCGCTGTGTTCTTAGCCCGGAGTCGCGACACGGCCGCTCTCGTCTCTGTTTGCGTCACCTCGGGGACATCGGTGCTCTCCTCTTCTGGAGAGTCTGTGGCTGAGGGCGAAGCCATCGCCGGGGGAACGTGTCCCACTCGCTCAGGGAAGAGAGCCGATACCACCGCCTCTAGCAACTGGGGTTGCATCGTTTGTGTTAGTGGAGGCGCCCAGGGACGCAACTTGCCCCGTACCCAACGGTAGGGGCGCCCCCACGGATCCCGATCTAGGGATCCCAGCAGCTCTTCCCTGGCACGCGACTTTGAGTCGCCGATGGCCAGCCACAGAGTCTCCTTAGACGCGCGGTACACCTCATAGAGCGCGTCCTCCTCGGCGGGATCCCGTCGACGCCGCCTCCGGTATCGGGTGTACCGGCGACGAGCCGCAACGCACGCTATGCGCAATTGCGCGATCTCGGCAGTCCACCAGTACACCTGGCGCCTTGCTCGGGGGGGACCTTTTTTTTTTTTTTTTACATGGGGAAATGCCTACGCATACCCGCCTCGCGGGGGCAAGGACGGGTTATGTCGGACTCGCACCGACTAAAACCCCATGGTGTTCCAACCTCGTCGCATATTGGCAGGGCCACGGGAACGCTTTCGCACACTTCCGCGGCCCCACCTGCGCTGGCCGCCCCATGGCGGCCCCTCCTCGGGAGAGGACCACTCCTCCCCCATCTCCCTCTCAGGTAAGGCGCACCAGAACACATGGCGCGCCCTCCTCCTCGGCCTCCAATTTCACATGCGCAACGGACGCCCCCGCGTCCGATGCGCGAAGGCCATGGGGCCAGGAAAAACTAGCACTCAGAAGCACCGGCCTTCCTGACCCCAGCGGCGGATCTGGTCTATGGCTCCGCCGCCAACCAAGATTCGGCTGCGGAGGGTAGGGAGAGCGGCGCCTCGCAATACCGACACTCCTCTCCCCCCGCAGCCCCACCACCACCGCATCACTCAACGGTGCGGCCCCGTCTGAGTCGCGGAGGATAGGGCGAGTGGCGCATCGCCATACCAGCACGCCTCCTCCTCCGCGACTCCACCTCGGCTGCAGCGATAGAGGGAGCGGACACCCCTCTCGCAGCATCCCACCGACACACATCCGAAGTGGGATTCTCAAGCCCACTCGGAGTGGCCACCTCGGGCCGGCCCTACACCACGGGCCAGCCAAGGGGTTCCTCTTTGTTCACCGTGGTTGACCAAGCCACGGCTACTTAGCCCCCCCGCCACGACAAGGCGGGAACCCGTTCGGGGGGGTCGTCAACCTAACCTAACCTAACCTAACCCAGTCCGGTGTCAACCGCCGTCCCGAACGCCACGTTTTTAAGTTGCTCCGCACTTAAAAATTCCGAAAAATAGGTTTTTCGCAACGGATTTTGGTGTGTCATATGTCAAAAGTTGCGTTTTGACTCGCGGCGTAAAGTAGTGAAAACCGCAAGAAAATTGGAGTTTCTGTGAAAAAAGTTAAAGTGTAAAAAGTGATTTTGGAAATTTTTAAAATTTTCAAAGTGAAACGCTGCGCGATTAATCGCTTTGACCCCTATTTTTTAAAGTGCGGCCCCCACCCATGTGCAAAAAGTGAGATTTTTCGGAGCCATAGTCTCACATAGGGCACGTGTTTTGCGAAGAACTTTCAGAAGCATTCTAAGTTAAATGGTTTAGAAGATATAAAACTTTTAAAATTTGACAAAAATTGATATTACAATAACTTTAAAATTTAAGTGACGACCCCCAATTATTATTTTAAAATAGTGTAAAAAAGACCATAAAGAACGCACATAAAAAAATTTTTGGATTTTTCTAGTGAGTAGTTTTATAGTTATAATTTTTTTTATATTTTTGTTAACATGTGCTAACCTTAGAATAAGTACTAGCAAATTATAATAAACATATTTAGTATAAGGGTTTAGACAATAACTTATGTAAATGTTTTCAGAATTTTAAAAACAAAATTTAGCTTTAAAACTCAAATTTTCTTAAAAATTTTACTTATTTTTTAATAAATTTAATTGAGCCCCCTTACTCAAAATGCCAAAAGACTTTCATAGACGTAATCTCGACACCGAGACCTCTTAAACGAGTCCAAACACGGGCCGAATCAATTAAGAGACGGCCAAAATAGAAATAAGTTGTCTGGACCGGCGGCCATTTTGAAAATTTTAAAAACTTAATGGCTCTGTTTGTGGAATTCGTGGAGAGTTGCGGTTTTGGACTATACTATTACTAGATCGATTTCTACCCATCTACAAAGACTCAGGCTTTTTTGAGCTCTTTTTTTCAGGGTCCTGAAATTGATCCTATCATATATCATAGCTGCCAAACTAGGAGTCGTAGAGGACTGGGGTTTGGATCCTAGGCGTCGGCAAGTAGTACCGGAACAGAGAATCAAGCTTTTAAGGAATTTCAGCGCCCAAAATTTTTGAGCCCTGAAAACCACACGAAATTATAGCCCTGGTCGAGCCCAACAAGACGAGCCCAAGCACGGAGCTGTAAGCCTGTTAGTTCGAAAGTTACAGCGAGGAAACCGTATTTTGGCAGCCATCTTGTTTTTTAAACCAGAACTTTAAAACGCGGTAACTTTCGAACCTATTGGGCTAGGCATACCGAGTTTGGGTTCTTTGAATAGGGTTCGAGGAGCGCTTTTGGCCGGTTACGAGATATAGACTCTACAAATTTTTTTAATTATATTTTTATTTTAAACTTTTAATTTTATTTTGTTTTTTATTTTTAATATTATTTTATATTGTATGTAATTCTACTCTATATTTTAGTGTAAATTATTAGAACTTAAGTGTGACCAGCTGTGGTGTAAATTAACTGTTATTTTAAAGTTAGATAATAGAGACAACTCTAGGTAGAGAATTGAATTTTGGGCAACCAAATTGATAATAAATTAAAAGGCTGACATACTGACTCTATATAGAGTCAAATAGACTTATAGGAATAATTATAATATTCCTAAAAAACTATAAAATAATAGGTGAAATAGAGTGTGACAATTAAGTAAAAGGTATAAACAGTACAAATAGAGCGAAACTCTACATAGAGAACATAGAATCGCGTGATAATAGGATCATATTTAACCGACACCAGGTACGAGCCCACCATAGCCGTGTCAAGCTGTTTTAAAAAACTTTTTATAACTTTTATAAACCTTTACAAAAATTTTAATTTTATTAACCTTAAAAAATTTATTTTAAATTGTTTATTTATATTTTTTGTTTTTATTTTATTTTTATTTCATTTATTATTGTTGTGACCTAAGGACGCGTTCCCCTGAATATGTTTGGCTTCCGCACTCCTACCAAAAAGACCGAGGATAGTTCTAAGGACATAGGCCCCCAAGGCTCTCCAAATGGGACAGAGGAGAAAGAGCTTTCTCCCAAAAATAATCGAACGACGCAGGCCTCCAGTGTGAGGAGAAGCATTGGGGAGTGGGAGGCAGGTAAAGTAGACGCTGAAGCAGGAATTCAGCCTTCCCCCAAAAAGGTGGTCCCGGTGGCACGCCAAAAACCAAAGACAGTACCATCCCAGGAGTCAAAAGGGGCAACCCGTAGAGTTTTGGCGGAACCTACGGAAAACTCGCCTAAAATGGACACGGTAAAATATGCAGATCGTATAACGGATGCTAGAGCCTGTCTTAACAAAGCGAAATTGCACCTCAGTAACTCGCGCAATCTGAGGATTGACATAAAGACCGAAGTCACGCAAGCAATAGATAGACTCTACCAACTGGTCAAAGAGGCAGAGACAGGCAAAGGCACAGAAAAAGAAAGAAAAGCAAAAGAGCAGGAGAAAAAAGCAGATAAACTGGAAGAAGATATTGAGAAGAGAAAATTAGAAGAACATAACAAACTAATCAAGAAGTTGGAGGAGCATGGGAAACTCCTGGAAGAGAATAAAAATGAGATGGAGAAATTAAGAGAAGAAATGAAGAAGAAAGAAATCAATGAAGAGAAAGGAACATATGCGAGTGTATTGGCCGGACCACCAAGGAGACTGCCACAACAAAATACGGCAATGCACTCTGTAGTCATTACATCAACTGACGAGAAAGACACAGGAGAGGAAGTTATGGACAGAGTAAGAACAGCAATAAACGCCAAAGAGGAAGGCTTAAAAATAGATAAAATTAGGAAAGTAAGGGACAGAAAAGTAATACTAGGATATAGCACACAAGAAGAAATAAATAGGGTGAAAGAAAGAATAAAAAATATGAGTCAAAATTTAAATGTAGACGACATTAAAAACAAAGACCCATTAGTTATATTAAAAGATGTACTACAATACAATTCGGACGAAGAAGTAATCAAGGCAGTAAGAACACAAAATAAACAGCTCTTTCAAAATATAAATGAAAAAGACAATAGAATGGAGATAAAGTACAGGAAGAAATCTAGAAACCCGCACACCGCCCACATTGTAATCAAAGTCTCGCCCCAGATATGGAACCACCTCACAAATGTCGGGTGGATCCATGTGGATCTCCAGCGAATAAAGGTAGAAGATCAGTCCCCTCTTGTGCAATGTTCGCGGTGTCTGGCTTATGGACACAGTAAGCGCCTATGCAGTGACACGACAGAGGTCTGTAGCCACTGCGGAGGCCCACACTTGAAATCGCAATGTGCTGACTGGCTTTCAGGAGAAATGCCGTCATGCAGAAATTGCCTCAAGGCGAAAATAGAAAATAAAGAGCACAATGCCTTCAGTGCAGACTGCCCCGTTAGAAGAAGATGGGAGATTCTAGCGAGGTTCACTGTCGCGTACTGTTAAGATTGTCTCCAAGCCAAATACTAACATAACCCCAAGCAACCACCGATATCACGTGATCCAGGCTAACCTACAAAGGAGTGAGCTGGCCACGGCCGAACTAATTATAGAGGCAACCAAAAACAAGGCATCGTTTGCCTTGGTCCAGGAGCCCTATATTGGACGGATTGGGGAAATGAAGCACCATCCAGGGACAAGAATAGTACAATGTAACCGAAGCCCAAACACCGAAAAAGTGATAAAGGCGGCCATTGTACTATTTGACGACACCATTGCCGTAACCCAGTGCCCGGACCTCACAACTGAGAACATCG